GGTTTTTGGGTGTATGGTTCTATGGTTAACTTATGGCAAAGGCACCTAGGTGAGGTGCCTGCACCAGTCCTTCAACTCCAGCCGCATCTTCCAATTCCCCTTATGGGCACACAAACTCTCCCTGCCTCCCTAAGGTTTTAGTAAAGAGTGGAGGGAAGCCATCAAAGTCTCAATGTGCCCCCACAAAACTGGAGAAGATGGAAATTAAATACGTCTGTTACACTCACTGAGCAGGGAAAGGTCTGGTCAGGCACACTTTATTAATACTCCTGCAAATTAAAAGAAAAGACCCTCACTATGGAAAAGCAAGAGACAGCTTTACCTCCTACACCACAGCACCTCTCTGTCCCATAAAACAGCTACCACAACCACACAAAATAAAGTTACAAGGGCAAATACATTTTACAAATGACAAACGTCCTCAGCTCCATCCAGAGCGATGGCTCACCCCAAACGGCAGAGACCATTAACACCAGCGTGAGTGATCGCCTTTCCTTAAAGCTTCGTAGCCGAGGGACAGATCTCATGGTGGCAGAAGTAGGCTGCACCTTGGATCTAACTTTAAGGCCTCAGCGGCTGCTTGCCATTAGCGAGCAATGGTTTGGGGGCAGTGGATCGGATGGGCAGGGGAGTTGGAAAGTGAGCTCACTTCTCCTTGCAGGAGCCTGAGCACGAGGACGGCTGGGGGGATTTGGAATCCGGCTTTACAATTGTCAAGGGGGCAGTACCCCGCCGAGGCTGCCGTTTGTTATCATCGCCTGAACGCGGCTTATCAACTGTGAAGAGGGTCCTCCTGGGATCCCAGCCGGGTACTTGGGAGTTAAGTGGCTCTTAAGCTGCGCAGTAAAAAACGATTCCGCGTTAAGAGCCACCACGTGTCACTGAAAGTTATTCTTGGAGGAGGGTTTTTTCTGCTTGACTTCTCCGAAGATGGGCAGCCAGCGGGTGCAGCGCTCGGGGATGCTCTCAGCTATGGCTGGTTAGAAAACCCCCCCGCCTTCACTGTCCCCAGCCCGGGCCCGGCAGCTCAGCCCGGCTGCTGCAGGTGGGCAGCTCGGGGGACGGAGGCGCTTCTCCCCTAGCCGCGCCCCCCGCCTGCAGAAGGAAAAGCAGCCACGTGGACTCACCCGTTCCCCGGCTTCCAGCCCGGCCCCCCTGCCCCAGAGCGGGCAGCGGCCGAGCTCCCGCCCCTTCGCCTCGCGCCCGCGGGCCCGCTCCGGGCGCACGTCAGCCGCGCGAAGCCAAACCCTGCAGAAGCTGCTAGAAAGTCTCCGGGTTTGCCCAGCCCATGAGCGGTTGTTCGGAGGATGTGACGCCTCGAGCTTGTTTTTGGATTGGCTGATTGAAATCTCTGTCCTCGCGCTCGGGGAGCTCAGAGGAGGGGTTGGGTTACACGCAGCTGGCAGCCAGGTTTGTAATGAGCGCTGCGCCGGAGCCCTGCGTTTGGGGGTGGGGGGCTGCCACTCAGGCGTCTCCTCCTCTGGGCTGAGGGGTGGTGGGAGGATTAGTTCCCTTCCCAGGGCAGGGTCCCCTGAACACATGCATCTTTTAGGCTATGTCTCATTGAGCGAGCCCCGTGTAGCCACAGCAGCACTGGGAGGGGCTAGCCCCCCTGAGTACACCCCCTCTCCCCCACGCCCGCGGGGGATGTACTTCGGCAACAAGCCAGAACTGTTGCCTATACTAACGCAGCTGCATTACTATTTTTAGCACGCCAGCAGGTGTATGTCTACCAGAGCTAGGAATCAAAGGCTAGCTCCAACTGGAGACAGCGCCTCAGGCTGCATGGGCACTGAGAACAGTAGCCTCTCTAACTGCCCACTGGGGATGCGCCATGGAGCAGTATAAGCTGCACTGCAGACAGGGAGAAGGCATTTTTACTAACACGCTACCTGCACTGAGCAGGGTTAGCTAAGGCCCAAGAGTTCAAAAAACAGAAATGAACACAACCCCCCTTCCCAATGCACCCTCATCCCACACCAGCATCCTATAGCAAACAAACACAAAAGTTAAAAGAAAGACAGAGCATCCTTCAAAGAATTAGTGCAAGAAATTCTGAGTCATAACTAGGTATGCAAGTGGACGGCCAGGGGATCGTGGACGTGACAGGGAAAATGCCGAAAGCTTTGTTCAAGAACATGGTCAAGAGCATGTGTCACAATGTTTGTCACCGGATAACACCACTAAACTGGAACCAATTATGTGTTTGAAACAGGACACACAGCAATCACACTCAAGATTTTACTTTGCTGCTGATAATGACGTGCCCTCCATGTGTCTCATTTCCTTTTTATT